AAAAAAAAAAAAAAAAAAAAAAAAAAAAACGGACTTGGGCCTGAAAAATGAGTCAGAGATTGTGATTTTGTACGGGGCGCAGCCCTCAGCCTCTTTTCCATGTTTGACTTATCTTTTATTGTTTAAGCTATTCTCTGTTGACTACCCATCTCCCTTGCTGTGAGAAACGCCATGTTCTGTAAACCATCTCCATGTCACTGGCTCTGAAATCCCCTTTTATGTTTTTTTTAAATTAGTTAATTTTTTTTTTTTTTTTTTGAGACAGAGTCTTATTCTGTCACCCAGGCCGGAGTGCAATGGTGCAATCTTGGCTCACTGCAACGTCCACCTCCCAGGTTCAAGCGATTCTTGTGCCTTAGCCTCCTGAGTAGCTGGGATTACAGGTGTGCGCCACCGTGCCCAGCTAATTTTTGCATTTTAGTAGAGACCGGGGTTTCACCGTGTTGGCCAGGCTGGTCTCGAACTCCTGACCTCAGGTGATCCGCCTGCCTTGGCCCAAAGTGCTGGGATTATAGGCATGAGCCACCACACCAAGCCCGAAATCCCTTTTTAGCGTTTGCTTCCTTGGTCCAGTCTGGACGTCAGCTATCTTAGGTCGAGTTCTCTGGGAAGCAGATTGTGCAGTGGAGATTTGCTTGCGGGAATTTTACTGGGAACTTAAACTGGGACTCAGTTGCAGCAGGCCTTGTCCAGCACCACAGGGGTCTCTGAAGCTGGGATCGCTCTTCAGAGATATCCTGAACTGAGGCAAGGGGATTGGATTTGTGTATTCCCTCATTGACCAGGCACTGGATATGGACTGTCCCTGAGGAATGAGAGGCAGTTCCCTTGGCTGGAGATTCAACTACAAGCTATCAGCAGGCAGCATTCCTGGCAAATGGCAGAATGAGCCATCAGCCCTGAAGAGGAAGATCTGAGCAGTGCCCCTCAGCAGCCGCTACAGTTCCCTTTTAGAATTAGCTGAGAAGGGCCGGGCGCAGTGGCTCACGCCTGTAATCCCAGCACTTTGGGAGGCCGAGATGGGCGGATCACGAGGTCAGGAGATCGAGACCATCCTGGCTAA